AAAAGCTACAAAGAATTAATCTCATTTCTTCAGACAAACAGAATACAATATCGCTGGGCGATCCCTGAAGATGTCATTTTTAAAATTAATGATAAAAGAGAGAAGATTGACTCCATCTTTAAAGCAAAGGAATTTTTGAGACGACAGCTGGGGCCAGAAGCAGAACTCAAAGATAAAGAAACAAAATCGAGTGACTCTGCTACCTCTGGAATGGGGGAGGACTCTGGGGAGGAAGCGGGTGCGGGAGCAAGCAAAACAGTGTATGATTTTAGAGAAAGAAGACAGAAGTAAGGGCAGAAGGACTCTGAAAATAGCCCTATGAAAATAAGAAGATGCTCAAGAAGTGTTCTGAAAATATTAAAATTACTAACATTGAAGCAGTAGTTAAAAATAACTCACAAGTATATTGTTATACTAACACGTATTTACTAAGATGTAGTTCAACACGGAAATGATCTCCTACTCTTGGGTTTTTAGTTAGTGTGGGTATCTTTTCTTTTTCCCTAGTTGTAGTCCCCCTTCCTATATTTTCTGTTCTAGTTATGTAGTAAGCTATTGAAAAACCAAAAAAATTTCCCCCTTGGGGGTTTTAAAAAAAAAAAAAAAGAAAACGAAGAAACGCAGGAAGAAAAGACTCTAGAACAGGAACAATAGTTCTTAAAGGCAGAATTTGTGCTAAGTTGTTAAATACATAGTCTTAAAGTAATACTGTAATGAACCAACTTGTATACCAAACTGGTAACATTAGGTTAATAAGCCCTACTTTTAGCTAACTAGATTGTGACATGTATTAGTTTTCCTTTTCCCAAATCCAATAGATGAAATAGTTTAGAATAGTAGTTTCCTTTCCCCATCAAGTAGTTTTTATGTATTAGTTTGTCCTCTTCCCATTTCCCATTGTTAAAGTGTTAGGGTTCTAGTATCCCTCCCCCTTCCACTTTTTAGTTGTAGTTTTTGTAGTTTATAGAAAATGCAAATAAAAAATCCCCTTCGGGGGGCAACAAAAAAGAAAAGGGATTCACCCCAGGTCCTGGTCCAACACTCTAACCCCTATACATGCCAGGCCCTCAGAGAGCCACATGGTAGAGCATCACTTCGCATGCAGGGGATGGCAAAGGATGAGATGGTTAGACAGTGTTATCGATGCAACGAACATAAAATTGAGTGGGCTCTGGAGGACCCAGGCCCGTAGCCAGGATTTTTTAAGTTGGGGGGCATTTAAATTTCTTAGGGGGCACTGGCTAATTGAATTAAAGGAATACCTGGCTCCTTCCCTGCATCTGCCATTGTTTGGGGGCCCTGGGCTGGATTGGGAAGTCATGGGGCCTTGCCAGTAAGTCATGGGGCCTAGCCCCGAGATGTCTCACTGTAGCTACGGGCCTGGGAGGACGGCGGAAGACAGGAGGGCCTGACATGAAATGGTCTATTGGGTCATGAAGAGTCAGACTCGACTGTGTGACTGAACAACAACCCTTGTTCAATCCCCAGCATCTCCAGTTAAGAGGATCAGGCAGTAGGTGATGTGGAAGACTTCTACCCTACGACCCTGGAGAACCACTGCAAGTCAAAGTAGACAACACTGAGCTAGATGGGTCAATTGCCTTATGATCCTTGGGACAGAGGCTGTGGCTCAGTGGTAAAGCACATGCTTAGCATGAAGAAGGTTCCAGGTTTTATCCGTTTCATTTCTAGTTAAAACGGTAAGGTAGTAGATTATGTAAAAGACCTCTCTGAGACCCAAGACAGCTACTGATGGCCAGAGCCAGTGTTAACCTCTAAGCTGAGTTAGTGTGAGCTAGCTCAGTTTTTTAGCCTCTGGCTCACACATTTTTGTCTTAGCTCAGGAAGGATGGCTCCAGAGCAAACTAATTTATGCAGTAGCCAAATCGCTTGATCACAACTTTAATGCCAGTATCTCACAAAGTAGAATTTTTGCTCACAAGACTCCACAGCTTAGAGGGAGCATTGGTCAGAGCATATAATACTGACCTTAATAGATCAATGTTCTGATATAAGGCAGCTTCGTATGTTCATGTAGATTGTATCCTGCCACACTGCTCAGACAAGTGTGAAGCCTAAGTTTTCCTCCACAAGAGCAAGCTTCCACAGAGGAAGGCTCCACATTTAGCAGAGTGGAACAGTAGGATACAAACCTGTATTTCTCGACTTGCTTGTGTCCTAAAGTTTAATCATAGCTAGTGGTCAAAACTCATCCGGGTATCAAGCTGTACACTATGCAAAGATTTCCTAATTATGGTCAATTCAAATGCATTTAATTTAGAAAGTGGTTAATAGTAAGATATATTAATATTATGGCTCTTTCATGCCAAGCCCTTTTGGAGCCTAAATCTTTGAATGCAGAGAAATCCAAGGTCACTAGAGTTGCAGCAAGGAATGCTCTGTGTATGGCAATAGGACTACTTAAAATTCACCGAGCTGCTGTTCCTAGAAACTACAACAAGCATGTTAAACGGTGTATTGCCTCAGAATTACTGATAAGACATTTTTGCAGTCTGAGAAGAGCATACAGAACAAGAGAAGTAAGATATCTTTGGAAAACTTAATCAAAATTTTACTGTTTTGTTGTTTGGAAGCATCAGAATTTCTAGTACACTTTGTGATCTACAGTTTACAAGGAGATCTTTGTTCCCCATAGTTACATACAATTGCCAGCTTTCCGCACAAATATTATACTGTCAATTGCTTTCTTTAAAAACAGACTGATTTCTTACAACAGAAGACAAAAGAAGCCTTGTCCAAAAAGAAAGGAGCCTCTCCTTAAAATAGGAGGTGCAGGACCAGGAGAGCCAGGCAGGGTGAGGGACCGGAAGAGACATGAATGCTGTTCTGCAATAACACAGGAATCCAGAATCCTTCCCAACTCATTTCCCTGATTTCCAGTCATTTCCCCAGATGAAGTTCACTGAATATTTAATTTGGAGACCATAATTTCCATTGTTCAGAGGCATATAACCTTAGTAAACATCGCTTCTCATCCTTAAGTCTCTGGAAAGGGCATTTTTTTTTTTCTACAACAGAAAATACATACTGCTTCACCCCTTTTCTTTCTGGGTGCATATTACCAGGCTGGGAGAATGAAATCAAGTATCAATTTGAATCTCACATAGACTGAAAACCATCACTTGGGTCTATGTGCCATATTTTAAATCAAAAATATTTTCGGAGAGATAAAACGAGAGAACTTACTAAAATCTTTCTTCCTACAGGGATCAGCGTAGTCATTTTAAAATTTGGATTACTTCATCAGTTGCTTTTCCATGCAAAAGATTGGTGCTCAGCTCCCCATAGAGGAAATGTTAAGAATACTTTTGGCTATTTGTTTCACTATGTTTATGCTATGTAAGTTGCTTGATCAAGGACAGTTACATATTTGCCCACTGTAACATTCCCAGTTCTTTTAAATGTCTTATATTTTAATACAGCTTTAAGAGTAAATAGCAACATTGGAAAGCCCAGGCAAGCTCATATTGTGGGTGGAAAAATCTCCGCGGCCACCATTCCGCGAGTATTAAGAGCACATGACTGTTAACACCAATCCTGTGACGTGTTAAACAGCTGCTGTCACAGAACCCCTCTTATACAAACCTTTCTCCCTATATATAAATTACAACCTGGTGAAACAGGAAGGTAAAACTAATTAGACAATTTACAGTTATCATTTCAGTCTTGTCTTCCGGGGGGGGGGGGGGAATCCAGTTCTATAGCCTCTGTTTCTTAATTTCCAACAGAAATTCTCTCTTTGTCTAAAGCTGGATTTTGGAGATAGACTACAGGCTGCCTTTATAAAGCGGAAGTGAAGAAAGAGGCACAGAAAACCTGGTCTCTGTTTCTTCAGAAGCCCTGTAAGAAATCTTGCAGCTGGGTGACTATTTCTGCGTCCACCGTTTCCATGAGTGCCTGAAAGCCTGCCTCTCCAAGCAGCTCCTGATGTGCCTTCAGCTTCTCGTATACAAACTGCTGCAGTGACACAGTGTGTACTGGATCCTTTAGTGCAAGCTGCAAAAGACAGATAAGAACAATAAATAACAATGAAAACAGTAGGCAAACCCAGTGGAACTATGACCCATTCATCGATTTTATAATCGTAGCTGCTGGGTTTTTTTTTAAGTCTTTTGTTTTCTATCGTTCTTACCCCCAGGAACACAATACAACAGTCAAACACTTTCAAAGAGGAATTCTGCTACTTCATCAGCTAAAATTAACCTTTACCATCAACACTAGCTCATTAAAAATAGCAAACTGCTAAAATACCTTAATTTCTGTACTCCCCCCCCCCCAAAAAAAAATCAGGGAAAAGACTCAGTTCAGTTTCATATTGGCCATACGAGGCAGATGTTAAGACAAGAACTCTTGGGGAAAGGTGAGACTGAGCAAAGTGATGACAAAGGCTCCAGGGCCAAAAGACCTTCTGTCACAGGCAGTTAATCTGTCAAACCACAGTCCAATTTTGCTTTTGGATTTAGTTGATCAGAGACCATTTTTTTCACGCTTTTTCACTCAAAGTATGTATTTGTAAGATTTTTCTCTTAAGAGCAGGGCATTCTCCCTCGGCACTAAGACTGGACACCACATAGGTCGGTTCCTCGAGTGATGTTTTAAAAGCAACAGGTTTATAGGACAGCAGTGCAAGATCTCAACTTTAAAGCAGAACAGCTATAGAAAAGCTGGTTAAAGAATATCCCCTCCCCAAGTAATGATTAAAGAATCCTCCATAATGATAAAAAATACCCTGTAGTTGCTGCATGATACTTTCCTGAGAGTATCAAAGGGGAAATCTGAAATTAAAACTGCCAAGTTCTGAATACCAAAGTGTGCTGCCATTTGCAGGTGGTGGTGGTGGCAGCAGCTGGCTCATGTTGTGGTTCAGTAGGAAAATTATACAGCTATCGCTGCTGAAGGGGGAGGGGAGGACTGGAGGTGGCCAGGGAAGCACTGGGGCTACCTCTGCAGTACCATAGATGCACAGTTACTGAGCGGATAAGCAGAACCTGCTGTAGAATCAGTCCCGATGCCTCTGTCACTGCCACGGCCTCCCAAGAGCATCAAAGGACTCTCCCCCTTCAGCACTGCTCAAGAGTGGTAGTCTTCCCAGAAAACCACTGCACAAGCAGGCCCTCATTGTGATGGTGCCATACAGGCAGACGATTCTATTTTTCAAACACTTGCTTTCACTATAAAAAGCAGTATTTAGTAAAGTGAAGGAACTCCCTATTTTAGAAATTAAAATCCCTATTATTCATTGGACAAACTTCACAAGCCTAAACCACAATGTGTACCTTTCAGTAGAGCCTATATAAAATGACAAAATCTAGATGGCTTGCTTTACATTTGATGGAATCACTTGTATAATGAGACTCTGATAAATGTGCTAAACCTCATTTTCAGATTCCCACTTATATATTTCCTAATTTTTCTACGGGAATAGAGAAAAATTCTACTAGATCAATATAAAAGTACAGGTGGTAGACTCTTGAGGATTTGTGTGTGTGGGAATCTAATTCCCCTCCCCCACTATTTTCTCTTTCCCTTCCTGTAAAGGCCTCATAGCCTCTTGTGTTCTCCTACTTCCCCCCCTCCTTCCTAGCCACCAGCCAGCCTACCCTTATCCTCCCTTTCCCATCTTCAATTTTCCCTCCTTCCCTACCCCTGGCAGCCTCTCCCTGGGAAAAGTCTGGCCATGTTGCACAGTGCTGGCTGCCAAGCTAGGCTGGGTTGCACAGTGAGGAACCCATGAGGACGTAAGGGGCATCTCATTTTCCCTTGTAGCACTTTCCCTTATGAGGTAGGTTAGGCTGAGAATGTGTGACTGGGCCAAGGTCACCCAGCATGGTAGAGAGGGGATTTAAACGTGAATCTCCAGATCCTAGTCTGAAACTCTAACCATTACACCACACTGGCTTTAGTGGGGTTACTTCTGTTGAACAGTAGCATACAACAAGTACCGTGCACAGATGATTATAACATATCATAAATAATTTTATATTTTTTGAAAAATATTTTTACAATAATGTCTACATATATAATTAATCATCTTAATCACAATTCACAATATAAGAGATTTCAAAAATATCAAATCTCATCCAAGAATCTCAAAAGCTATTGTACAACCTTATAATTAATAATAGTCCTCCTCTGTTAAATAAAAGTTTCAAAAGGGAGGACTCCTTAAAGTCTCTTTATAACATGTGCTCTGTCTTCCTCCAACAGAGGTCCAGATATCCTTCTGTTTCAGAATCTTCCTCAGGGAGTTCAACAACAATTTTCAGCACAAGGTTGCCACATACCAAAGTTTTAATCCAAAGTTCTCTTTCAATGAACGCTGCAAAAAAATTTTTTTTATGAGCTACAAGCCTCCTACAAAGTGCCAATAAAATTGTTGTTGGCGCGCCACCATCAAAGGGAAGTCCAGTAAATATATCTTTCTAATGTAAGAGTTTCTCTCTGTTCCTATTTTTACTATCTTCTATTTAACTACAGGTGAAAGATCCATTGATGCAGAGCTACAAAGGAGGGAGGAACTCAACCTTCCCCCCCTCACCTATGCTGTTTGACAGACACCATCCCACTAAGCTGCTTTTAAAACAAAGGTATAATGTCCTCTTTTCCTGGAAGCTAATTTGCACCATGTATGGACAAGGGCTGTATTTATACAGGTGCTGGTCATCGGCATACTGGGTTACAGAACCATGCTGTAAGAAAAGGATCTTCATAAAAACAATCCTAGAAGAATAAAGAAGGGAAATGAGAAAATACGGCTGGCTAAATTCTGAATTTTGTTCTGCAAAACATTGTGTATTACTTCAGCAAATTAACATTGAGTGCCTGTCACAGTATTGTAGCCTGAACAAAGGCCTATAAAAGGATAACACCGTATTCACACTTCAGCTTGTACAGTAACTGTCAACTTATTAATAGTATCTCATCTCCCTAGGCAACAATATAAAAAAAATCACTTATTCTTTCAGATTAATTTAACCAACCTTAGCAGTTTTCTAATTATAAAAGTCTCACTGAAAATTATGGCTGGTAGTAGCTTTCATACAGAACAGCTGAGCAGGATGCATTATATCCCAATGCAATCTAAACGTTAAATATCACAAAAACCATCACATGTGCCAAATTCAACATGTAAATTGTGAGACGGGCATTACAAAAATGTGTCCAGAATCTTGCACTTATAATCATTTTTTCTAGTTAAAAGTCAGTGTTTGATGCTTGTCCCTGATATGGTGGATGGTCAACATAAGAGACGCCAATGCTGGATCAGGCCAAAGGCCCATCCAGTCCAACACTCTGTGTCACACAGTGGCCAGAAATACCAGTGCCATCAGGAGGTCCAGCAGTGGGGCCAGGACATTAGAAGCCCTCCCACTGTTGACCCCCCCCCCAAGCACCAAGAAGACAGAGCATCACTTGCCCCAGAGCCCCTAGCTATACCTTGTGGCTAATAGCCACTGATGGACCTCTGCTCCATATGCTTATCTAATTCCCTTTTGAAGCTGTCCATGCTTGTAGCACCCACCACTTCCTGTGGCAGTGAATTCCATGTGTTAATCACTCTTTGGGTGAAGAAGTACTTCCTTTTATCCGTTCTAACCCGACCGCTCTGCAGTTTCATGGAGTGCCCACGAGTTCTTGTATTGTGAGAAAGGGAGAAAAGTACCTCTTTCTTTACCTGCTCTTTCCCATGCATAATCTTATAAACCTCGATCATGTCACCCCTCAGTCGTCTTTTCTCCAAGCTAAAGAGCCCTAAGCGCTTTAACCTTTCCTCATAGGGAAAGTGTTCCAACCCTTTTATCATTCGAGTTGCCCTTTTCTGCACTTTTTCCAAAGCTATAATATCCTTTTTAAGGTGTGGTGACCAGAATTGCACACAGTATTCCAAATGAGGTCGCACCATTGATTTATATAGGGGCTGTAAGGAAGACACCAACCTGGCTGTAATACAGCAGCTCAGTAGAACTGAAGGACGGCAGGAGGGGGAGGATCAACCTTGCAAGTCTTCACAGGAACTGTCCGGTACTCAGCTTTGCAAGAGCTGCACAGCTGAGATCTCTTAATGGACAGCTGCACTGGAGACAGGGAGGGGCAGCGTCTTAACAGGTCCTTCAATAGATAAAATAGCAAAAGGTGGGACCAAGTACTGATCCCTGTGGTACCCCACTGCTTACCACCCTCCACTGAGAAAATTGCCCACCTACACTCACTCTCTGTTTTCTATGAACTAGCCAGTTTTTGATCCATAAAAGGACTTGTCCTTCTATCCCATGATTTTTGAGCTTACTTATGAGCCTTTGATGAGGAACTTTATCAAAAGCTTTCTGGAAGTCAAGGTAAATAATATCTATTGGATCCCCCTTGTCCACATGTTTGTTCACCCCCTCAAAGAACACTAATAGGTTAGTGAGACAAGATCTTCCCTTACAGAACCCATGTTGAGTCTGCCTCAATAGGTTTTGTTCATCTATGTGCCTACTAATTCTTTCCTTAATAATGGTTTCCACCAATTTACCCGGTATCGACGTCAGACTGACTGGCCTGTAATTTCCCGGATCTCCTCTGGAACCCTTTTTAAAGATGGGAGTGACATTAGCTACCTTCCAGTCCTCAGGAATGGAGGCAGATTTTAAGGAAAGATTACATATTTTTGTCAGAAGATCCACAAGTTCACATTTGAGTTCTTTCAGAACTCTCGGATGTATGCCATCTGGGCCTGGTGATTTATCCGTTTTTAAGTTGTCTATCAGTTTTAGGAGCTCCTCTCTCGTCACCTCAATCTGACTCAGGTCTTTTGCTTCAGGTTAACTGGGTGAGCCTTATGTAGAAGCAGGGTTTTTTCCCTGATACACAGACATAAAGAAAATACCATAGTTGCTCGTTACTGAAAATAGACTAAATTATAGGCTCAATAATTAAAAAACAGAATCGTTAAAATCACAACTTGAGGCTTAAAAATTATTATTGTTACATCCCACTGAAAAACATTTCTACTT